AAAAAAAAAAAAAAAAAGGCATAATGCAAGGCTGGGTGTGGTGTGTGGGGGCTCATGCCTCCTATAATCCCAGCACTGTGGGAGGCAGAGGTGGGCAGGTCACTTGAGCTCAGGAAGTCAAGACCAGCCTGGGCAACATGGTGAACCCGTCTTTATGAAAATACAAAAGTTAGCCAGGTGTGGTGGCATGCGCCTATAGTCCCAGCTACTTGAGGCTGAGGTGGGAGGATGGCTTACATCCAGGAGGTCAAGGCTACATATATATTATATATGTAGAGTTCTTTCCAGAATGCCTCATTTTCTAGTGACTTCCTACCTATTCTAGCCTGCAGTTTTGGGGGTTATTTGGCTTTAACAAATGAGTCACTTACACGGCTTAGGAAATCTTCCTACACACAGTAAACCAAGAAGGGTGGAGGGGAAAAGTGCATTGAGTTTTGTTTCCTTGGGCAATCTGGTTACTGGATTTAACAGAATTCCATGGAAGTTTTTACATCCTCTAACCACGGCCTTAGCCATTGTCTACAAAAGTATCCAGCAAGAAAGCCCTCATGTTAGATGAGATCGTATACTGAGGACCAAAGACAAACTACCTCAGAAAAAGTTAAATCTGGAGATGATAGGAAACAGTGAGAGACCCCAGCTGGAGAAAGTGACTTAGGGAAATATCTTGGGGTAATTCTGGCGCAATTAGTGATAAAACAGCAAACCATTCTTTTTTTTTTTTTGAGATGGAGTCTCACTCTGTCGCCAGGCTGGAGTGCAGTGGCCCAACCTTGGCTCACTGCAACCTCTACCTCCTGGTAGAGGTAGCCTCTTGCCTCAGCCTCCCGAGTAGCTGGGACTACAGGCATCCTCCACCATGCCCAGCTGATTTTTGTATTTTTAGTAGAGACGGGGTTTCACCATGTTGGCCAGGGTGGTCTTGATCTCTTGACCTCATTGACCCACCACCTTGGCCTCCCAAAGTGCTCGGGTTACAGGCATGAGCCACCGCGCCCAGCCTAGCAAACCATTCTTTACTGCTAAAGGGCGTTCCCTGACCTACAATCTCCTCTGCCTCACTTGTTTGGTCACTCAGTTATAGTCTGTTCAAAGAAGAAAGCCAGGGCAGACACTACCCCACAGCTGTGTTCTCAGCCCTTGGTTTCTGAGAACACTCTTGGGGAACTACATTTGCTTTTTGGCCAAAGACCAGCTGAGTGGTTGGAGAGGGATCTTGTCGCAAATATAGGACCGTCTGTTGGGAGGGGCTGCAATATCTATGTTCCAAACAATTTTGGGCGCTACCTCTTTTGAATGCTCCAAAGAGGTAGCATCCGAATGATAAGACCTAATTATTTTTAGTAGCATCACATTTCAATTCATGTAAATATTTTATTTTTCCTAATCATAATTTCTTTCTTTATGGATGGGGGCACGAAGAGGAATTAGTTATATTTCAGTTCCTTCTTTAATTAGTTTCAGGCATATAACGTTCACTAGTTGGGAGAGAATATCCAGAAGTGCTGGCTGGCTGGCCAGCCTCTAGCAATGCTTGAAAAAGCAGGTAAATTCTGAGTCAGCAAATGGGAAAAGAAAGCACATTCAGTTTTTCAAAAAGGTCGCATTTTCAAGCAGTGTCTGGCATGTTACATCAAGTACTGAATTGGTACTAGGCAGATGGATCTAAACAATTGGTATTAGTAAATTAATAGGTAAACAGAATAATATTTACTTACCTTCGTTTTATTTTTTATTTTTATTTGTTACAGGGATGGGGTTTCACCATGTTGGCCAGGGTGGTCTCAAACTCCTGATCTCAGGTGATCCACCCACCTCGGCCTCCCACAGTGCTGGGATTACAGGCGTGAGCCACCACGCCTGGCCTACCTTCATTTTAAAAGAAGGTATTTGACTGCATTTCTCACTTGCAAGTGGGAAGTAAACCCTGGGCACACACACAGAGATGTAAACAGGCCGGGCGCAGTGGCTCACGCCTGTAATCCCAGCACTCTGGGAGGCCGAGGTGGGTGGATCACGAAGTCAGGAGATCGAGACCATCCTGGCCAATGTGGTGAAACCCCGTCTCTCTAAAAAAAAATTATAAATTAAAAAAAAAAAAGATGGAAACACTAGACACTGGGGACTCCTAAAAGTGAGGAGAGAGGGAGTTAAGTGTTGACAAACTGCCTACTGGGTACTATGTTCATTATTTGGGAGACAGGCTAAGCAGAAACCCAAACTTTAGCATCACACAATATAACCATGTAACAACCTTGCGTATGTACCTCTTGAATAAAAAATTTAAAAAATAAAAAAAAAAGGAATTTAAAAAATAAAGTCTCCATTTCCACAATCCTCTTGAGCTATCGGTATAAAACAGCACTTTGACAAACTCACATTTAAGGCCGATAACTACCATGAATACAAGACTTAGTTCTCATTTATTTGTGATTTTGCAGGTGTTCAAACCAATGAATGAAAATCAATTATCTCTTCATATCAATGAAATTTGCTACTCCACTGTTATCTTCAGAATCATAGTCATCAAAGCCCCATCTGAAAATGGTAATACCAAAGAGAACTACTAATACAAGGTTTCAGAAGACTGTGCAAGTGAAAATAACTGGCATTAAAAAACCACACAACAAACCACCGAGATTTGATGCCCCTTTCTCTGATATGTGGCCTCTGATCTCTTTCTTAGGACAGTAGTTTTCAAAGTCTCGTGTGTAGCAGAGTCAGCAAAGAGCTAACAGAGTATATAGAAACCCAGGATTTGTATTTAAATGTAAATACAAAAGGTCTGGGTCTTTGTATCTTTACCAAGTTCTCCAGCAATGGTTCCCAAAACAGGCTGTTCACAATCACCTGGGAAGCTCTGAAAACAACACATTCCTAGGTTTCATCCCTAGAAATTTTGATTCAGTAGATTTGAGGTTGGGACCCAAAAATCTTAAAACATTTTTAAAAATGTTAACAAACTTCCCAGGTATTTCTGACCAGCCAGATTTGGGAACCCTGACTTAGGACACTTATTTAAGGTCTATCAAAGAACTTCAGGCCTCTGAGTTTACTAAGAATATCAACACCTTTGGGCAGGTTATAAATCACCACCCTTGAGAGAATTTAACAAATTAAACTGTCTCATAGTGACTTGATACTACAAAACCCTGCCCAATTTAGTGCTTAAATTACCAAATGATTTTCTGTCTCTTCACTTTCCTCCCCAAGGCCAGGGCCTCCATGTAATATTTGTTTCCTATGACTAAGGGTCTAAGTGCTCCCAAAGTTGCCCCAGTGGAGGTTGTTAACTTCTCCCTTTTCTTCTTCCATTCAGATTCCCAAAGCTGTGAGGAGCAGACCTATTTCGAAGTGTCACAGCCAACTGATGTCACTTGCAGTATTATGCATTAAGACATCAGCCCAGAAACCTGGAAACGGGAGACACCAGACAACCCTATCATGAGAACTAAGCTCTTTGTGGAAGAAAATGCTCTCATTGCATGAGATAGGTAGTTTAAAATTTGACTATTATTTTTTTTTTTTTTTTGAGACGGAGTCTTGCTCTGTTGCCCAGGCTGGAGTACAGTGGCATGATCTTTGCTCATTGCAACCTCTGCCTCCCAGTCTCAAGCAATTTTCCCACTTTAGCCTCCAGAGTAGCTGGGACTACAGATGCATGCCATCAAGGCCAGCTAATTTTTGTACTTTCAGTAGAGATGGGGTTTTGCCATGCTGGTCTTGAACTCCTGGCCTCAAGTGATCCACTCACCTCGGCCTCCCCAAATGTTGGGATTACAGGTATGAGTTACCATGCCCATCCAAAAAACTTGACCATTCTTGATGCCAAGACAAGAGAAACTTAATTATGACTTTAGAAGTTTCAAAAATACAGGGACTTCTGGGTAGCTCCTAGTAGCCAAAAATCCATAGATATCCACACCCACTCCTTCCTCATTCCAGAATCAGATGTTTCCATTCCAAGACAGAAAGAATCTGAAAGCAATGGCCTACAAGAAATTTGGGAAATGACGTTTGATCTCATTTTCCTCTCAATTGGAAGTCATGATATCAATGCATACCAAATAGAAAAATAAGCTCAAAAGTAGGTGAGAATTATAATCTCTAAAACGCAGGTGCTGATTTCTTATCCTCCTCACAAAATTCCAGATCACAGATGGAGGAATGATGAGATGATCTTACACAGAAGGCACTAACTGGAACTAACATGAGCCAGCAGCATGTCAAAGGCGAATCCAGGAGATGCAGAAATGCACATGGGTCCCAGGTGTCTTTTCCAAGTGACAATGGGCCTCCTTCCTGGACAGCAGTCAGGAGACAATTCAAATGTATTTAAAAAATTGCCAGGTTGGCAACCAAAGGGAAGAGATTGAGAAGGACTCCCAGAACTGGGATGGAAAATAAGCCAAACACTTCTAGCAGCAGGACCAGCTGGAGGACTTGGTTTGTAGATTGATGTAGTCCCCTTTGGTAGACAAAGACAGGGTATCTTCTCTGGAATTTCTCATCATCTTTTCAATGAGGACGCTAAAAAACAAAAAACAAGCCTGGGAAGCTTATTTTAGAGGAAAAGCAGAAATGGCAGATGTAGTCTGACTTGTCATCCGTGTTTGGTAAAGCCAGAAGGTTTAAATGCCCCTTTGTCCCCAGTTATCTCAGGAGAGAAGACAGTATCCCTGACCTTCAGGGGCTGGCATTCCAGTGGCTCTGTCATTACTGGCTCAGAAACAAGAAAAGAGGGTCCACAGGGCCACAGTGGAAGATGCATACATCTGCATGCCTATTCTCAGAACAGCATGAGCTACTTACCTCATAGCTTCATTAATATTTTTGTTCTCCTTGACGGATGTTTCTGTCCAACCTGTGAAACCGTTCTCTTTACTGAACCGGTCAATCTGGTCCCGACTCACTGCCCAAGGGGACAGATCACACTGGCAAAGAGAAAAAATAAAAGGCAACATCATAAACTTTCTGGGAATAAGAATATGGCTCAGATACTGTGGATATAAAACATTTTCCCACTAATGGATAAGAACACCAGCATCGGAAATCCACAGTCAACATTCTTCCCAAAGAAAGTCTCACCCTCAACATCCTTTGAAAGGAGGTAGAGATGATTCTGCCAGCTTAAGAAGGGGAAATGGATGCCCAGAATCCGAGAGCATTTTACTTAACTTTCTAACCACAGATAGAGGCTAGGGGCCATTTTCTGAGATTGGTCACATACCTTGTTGGCCAAGAGCAGGCAGGGCACGGGCTCTCCATTGGGCAGTGTGAGCTTACTATCTAGGTCCTGTTTCCACCTCTGGCTGTTGCTGAAGGTAGTGGCATTGGTAACGTCAAACATAATAACACAGGCAGAGGCATCCCGATAATACAGTCGTGTCATAGAGGTGAAACGCTCCTGCCCTGGGGAAAAAGGGGAGAGTTCTCAAGGTGACCTGAGAGCCAGCCTCTGTATCCTAGCACCTCGCCCTCTCCCCATTCCTTGTGGAAGAGGGAAGTAAGTATATGTGGCAGAGGGAGCCACTCACTTTCCCCCTCTGACTCTTGGTTTTCTACCTATCCCATAAAAGGATAATGAAGGCTGATTATTTCCAAAGCAGATTCGGCACCCAGATTGCTCTAGTCCAAATCTCTGCTCTGCTGCATACTATGTGACTTTGGGCAAATCGAGCTCTCAGTGCTTCAGATTTCTCAACTGTAAAGCGAAGATAAAAGCAGTAGCCTTTTTTTTTTTTTTTTTTTTTTTTAGTTTCACTCTTACTGCCCAGGCTGGAGTGCAATGG